CACACACCCCGGGCAAAATACTTTCGCTAGTCAATACGTACCACTTGACCTGGCCCCGCTTGTCACACATCTGCAGTATGGAAAATCCGCACGTCTGTTAAATATCACAAACGGGAATTCCCTGGCTATATTTGCATGATCTATTATTAGTAACAGGAAAAATCCCCACTGTGATTTGTAATAAAACGGCGTCACCTGACAAATTTATAACTGTACAGTCAACTAAGTCACCCAGACAGTGTGAGGTTTCTCATTTAGACAGTAAATTATTAATGACAATCGAAACTATTAATACTGGGGATCGAAGGGCTGCCCCCAGTGATTGACGGGCCTAGACAAGAAGACGCCAGACATCTGGACATGCGAGGGGTAAGAGATGGCCTCTACCAATGGTAGGGAGGTCAGGTCACACCGCTCACGCGGTCGAAAACGGGGAAAAATCTAACCTCGCTGTTTGTTTTCCATCATAACTTCCAAGATTTTGGTCCTATGATAAATATGGAAATATATTTTAAAAGTGCATTGAATGGGCTTTCTTACAATATGTGTAACAATGCATCATTTCTCTGTTGTAAGCCCCTAGCCACGAAAATGCTGTGAGAAATCGCTGGTGATTTCACTTCCTCGTTTGGTTCCCACTATTTACGAATTTTGCTCAACATGCGCGTTTCGCGCCATTTTTCTAAAAGCTCCGTACGGCGTCCCGGATGTTATTTCCTCGTATTTGGACACATATTCATGAGGAAAATGAATCAAGCGTTCGAGTGAGGGGTTACAGTTGTTTACTCAACCGAAAACAGCAACCAAAACTAGCTTGTAAAGTTTTTAATCGTGTTTTAGAGTTAGAATAACGAATTTCTGAAAGTTCTGTAACCCCTACCTAAATTTTTAAACTAATTCTCGGTTCAAATCAGTTTTTTATTTATCATTTTTTGATAAGATAGAGCCGTAACAGCCATTTGAAAATCAGTGACTTTGATCTTACCGCAAACAAAATGGCGAACGCACCAAGCTGCTCTGCTGATAAAAAAGCAACTACACTTTCAGTACCGAAAGAGGGTCAAGAAATTTGAATATCTAATCAGAAAATCTTTGAATTGTTCACGAAACCCAAGGATATTGATAAAACGTGTGCAATTCAAGAATATACAGTTTATTTTATTTTTCAAACAAATTACGTACGATGTTGATGGGCCTAATGCTTATTTTCACCGGGGGCGTCACGATAGTCCGAAAGTTCATTGGCCCGAAGGTTCATTGGTCCGAAAAGTGGTAACATTTTCATCGATTTTTTAATCAAGGGTTCATTGGTCCGAAGGTTCTATAGTGAATATTCGGACCAATGAACCTTCGGACTATTGAACCTTCGGACTATTGCTACGGCCCTCATTTCACCTTTGAACTCGTTAGTGATTATAAAAAGGGGAATCTTAATTAAAATCATGGAGATATGAAAAACTCTAGAATGGTTAATGACAGTCAAACAAAGTGAATAAAAGTAGTATCTATTCATTTTTGCTTAACAAAAATAAAAAAGGAAAATTCCTCAAACTGCCATTACGTTTTGGCAGTCTGTCCAAATAATCTCGCTGGTTTTTGTATTACCTAGCTGCTATGATGTCCAATATCAATTATATTTTTTGGGTAAAATGGTAACTTTCCTAAATCGGATATTACTTATTTTCATTGTGCATTCTGGCAATTTTTACTAGTTAAACCTTAAAATTGTATATGCAGTTGTCATTGTAATATTGGTTGCCATGGCAACAGTGACATGGTATTTGTTTACTATTTATCTTTAATTCATAAATTTAGTACAAAGAGTGTTTCCCACTTCATAATCAGATAAAAATTTCATTATGATGTTTAAAAAATAATTCAAACTGTTACCATAGCAACAGCTATCATAATGACTATTTCCATAGCAACAGATACATTACAAGCCATTATTTTTGTTTTTAGTGATGGCACATTTTTTAGAATCATTTTCATCCAAAAGTAGCCTTTGGGCAGTGATGCTGAAGCTTTAAGGTTGAAAAAATAAAATAGAGTTTTGATCGCTATTGATATTTAGCAACGGTTGCCATGGAAATAATGGATAAATTACAGAAAATGATATCTTGTCAGATTCTTCTTTGCATAGTGTAACTTTCCAGAAAATTTCAAATGGATATTTTACTCCATTCAAAAGTTATGCCAATTTTGTTTAATTGATTAGGCAGTTAGGTGACACTTTTGGCTTCTTCTGTTACATATTCTTGCATATAAGACTTTTTCAAAATTTTGTGGCCGACTAGCATTCTTTTAAATTTAATAACTTTTTATTGTCTTGCTTGATTTTCAAAAATTAAAATTTTTTGGAAAGATCATAAATTTCTCTATCAGATGAGACCATTTTGGTTGATATTTATATTACTACCAAAGTTGACCTGACCTCCCTACTACCAAGGTCACAGATTGAATTTTCACTTGATATTCACAGATATGTCTCTGGCTTATTTCTGACACTTTTCTCTACTGTTCCGTTAGAGAAAACTGCACATAAAATGCACATATTAGAGGGTAAGTACGAGAAGGCATACGGAGGTTTCTCGTCTTCTGCAAGTCACAGTTCACCGACCAGCTGCGGAAGCCGAGCGAATCCCGTACACATTTAATTTAGGCGTTCGGTTTTTAAATAGTTAAATTTGTTGAATTGGTAAACACTGATTTTGCTTAACAATCAAGATATTTAAAATATTATGTTTTTGTAGATATTTCATCTACTTCATTCATCAGTGATTTATCAGTAGACGACAAGTAAAATGTAACATGATGCCAGGCAATGCAGGGGCGGACCCAGGATTATTTGAAGGGGGGTCTGCGGACGCGAAATCGATCCTCACCCCCCCCCCTCCCCTTTGGTTTTTTACAGGGTGAACGGTACCATTCGGTACGGTTTAGAACTATGATTCAGCTAGTCAGGAATTGCAGGGGAGGGTCATGACCCCCCTGACCCCCCCCCCCCCTTAATTCGCCACTGCAGTGTGACAATTTGGTAAACGAGCTCGACCCACGTTACTTAGAGAAAATGAAAAAAAAAATGCACTTTTGTTTTAAATGCAAATAAAACATGCACTGGGTATTGTTTTGGTTAATACACGTTGTATAGTAACTGATCTCAGAAAAAACTCAATTAGTGCTACTGGACTTACGTTTTCAGATGACCCTGGATTTGACATTTCCATTCCCAACCTCATCTCTATAAAAAAACTGGCTGAACCTAAAACCCATGCTTCTTAAACATATTTAAAAAAAATAGGCCGACATTTCGTCTATAGATCTTATCTCTCGTTAATCAACTTATAAATTCGTTTGGCCTTAGCAAGGATCCTATGTTGACAATAGGCGTGAGTGAAAAGTGCGCTGTGCCGCACGTCCCGTTATTTCCAGCTCTGATTGTTCATTTAATTTAACCTTTAACCAACAGTTTCGAGATAAAACATTCATCCGAGAAAAGCAGATAACACGTATGCCTAACGGGAAGCATATATACATTTACGGTACAGGCGAGTAGGAGGATTAGCAAAGTGAAAGTGTGGGGGTTGCTGTTCGCGAAAATTTTCTTTTGAGTTTAACAGAATATTTTATGACTGACTTAATTATACATTAAGACAAGAACCGTCATCCCCCCCCCCCCCACACACACACACACACATACCCCTCACCCTTCCATCCCTGTTTCCTGCACTTTTGACTGACGTGGTTGAAAAAAATGTGTGTTAAGGGTGGGGTGGGTGGGGGAGAGGGTTCCCCCGCCGCCGGGTCATGATGAATTATATTCGGTCCAAAGAATCAGGGGAGGGGCGTATCATGTTGGTCTGTCATCTTGGTCGGCAAACACACGGGAGGTCAAAGAGTCCCGGCTTCCACGATTATGTAGGCCCTACTAGAACATAACCTGAAGCTTTAGTTAAATGATCAAAAAAGATTAGCTCACTAGCTGGGTAAGATTTGAATGTGAAAGTGCAGTACCAATGCTCTCTTCTTATTGATGCCTGTGAACAGAACACTGAGTTATAGGACACGGCAGTGTTTCTAAAACTCAAGGTTTATAGGACC